TGAAAGTTAAGAACAAAGATAGATAGATAGATAATAATGATGGGTTAAATTTTGCGCATAAAATCATTTTAAAAAAAAGTAGCCTTTCATAATGATCTTTCAGATTCTTTTTATCTCTGGAGACTCTTATGGTGAATCTCGCTGCTGTTTTTCCACAACAAATTATTTACAATATAAAAATAATACACGTGAGTCCGAGCAATGAGGGGGCCAACCTTGTAAAGGCCTATTGCTGGATAAAAGGGGTCCCTGAGGAATTAGCAAGGTTTCCCCAAAAAACAGATTTTTAAATTTCCCTTTCAAAGAGAACTTTTTGCTAGAAATTTGCTTCCAACCATATTTTTTTAAGTTTTAAGCATCTGGACTAGAGATAGCGAACGAACCTTGCGAAGTGGAATTCGTTTTTCGAAGATTAGGAATCCGAAAATTAGCATACTTAGCACTAATTCGAATGCGTGAATCGAAATTTTCCAAAAATGCGGCGACATGTGTGGCGACGGAGCGAGACTCTGGAAGCGTGCAGACATGGCGCGCGACCCATAATGCAATTTCCATATCATAGACATTGATCGCATTAGCCAATCAGCAGCCAGCCAACCAGCAACTGTGTAATGGTCGAGCTATAAATTGCGGCCCCCCCCCCCCCCCCCCCCATCTTACAATTCTCCATTAGCCCTCCGGCTACATTCAAGAGAGACAGAACCCTGTCTGTATTAGGACCAGAGTTATGGCCAGAGAAGACTTTAGAAGGCCACAGAAATCGTTACGCTAGGAACATAGAATTCGTTACTCAGGGACAGACACAGAATTGTTAACTCAGCGGACACAGAATTGTTACTTCAGGACAGACACAGAATGTGTTACTGAGGGACACAGAATTGTTACTCAGCGACCGACACTGAATTGTTAACTCAGGGACAACAGAATTGTTAACTCAGGGACACAGAAATTGTTACTCAAGGACAGACACAGAAATTGTTACTGAGGGACACAGAATTGTTTACAACAGGGAGACTCAAGAAATTGTTACTCAGGGACACAGAATTGATACTGCAGAGGACACAGAATTGTTACTCGGAGGACAGACAAACAGAATTGTTACTGAGGACACAGAATTGTGTACTGAGGGAACAGAATTGTTACTCAGAGGACAGACACAGAAATTGTTTACTCAGGGACAAGACACAGAATTGTTACTGAGTGACACAGAATTGTTACTAGAGCGACACAGAATTGTTACCTCAGAGACAAGACCAACAAGAATTGTTACTCAGGGGACACAGAATTGTTACTCAGGGACACAGAATTGTACTCCAGGGACCACTGAATTGTTACTCAGGGACATCCGAGATTGTTACTCAGGGACAGACACAGAATTGGTTACTCAGGACAAACAGAATTGATACTCATGGACACAGAATTGTACTGAGGGACACAGAATTGTTACATCAAGGGACAGACACAGAATTGTTTTAACTCAGGGACACAGAATTGTTACTGTGGGACACAGAATTGTTACCTCAGGGACACAAGAATTGTTACGCTGGGACAAGACCACAGTATTGTTATTCAGGGACACAGAATTGGTTACTCAGGGACACAGAATTGTTACTGAGGACCACAGAATTTGTACTCAGAGGACAGACACAGAATTGTTACCAGACAGACCACAGATTGTACAGGACACTGATTGTTACTGAGGACACAGAATCTGTTACTCAGGGACAACACAGAATTGGTTACTCAGGACACAGAAACGTTACTCAGACACAGAATCGTTGAATTAAAGAGTATGTCAACAACCACGCAGAGGAGTGGCAGAGGAGGCAATGTTTCAGGGAGCGAGCAGACGTGGCATCAGAGGAGAGGGTTCCAGGCAGCACTAGTCACACAAGGCCAGTGCTCCCCGGGTGGTCATCCAGCGGTCGGTCCTCCACCGACAACCCTGCCGTCATCGATTGGTTGGCTCGGTCGTCTTCCCTTCCAGGTCACCTCTGACACCTACAGCAACTGTCGGTGGTACGTCCGACACAACCGTGTTTAGTTGGCATGGCCCCCGGGAGCAAGCCCACTGAAATCACGATGTCCTCTACCTGCCCCTGTCCTTTGGTGATCCCTCACCATGCGAAGTACGCATGCTGTTGGGCTCAGCCCCACTGTACAGTGAGGGAGAGCCTAATAGAGGGCGTCAGGAACGGGGGGGAGACATCCTCCTCTTCAGCAGGCCAGGCGAAGAAGTACTGGCGAGGATAGTGGCTCGTAGCCGTCGAGAGACAGGTCTGTCCTCCCTGACCCACACTCAGCCCGAAGGGGGCTAGTAGTGAGGCCGCGATCACCTAATGTGATGATGTGGAGTGCTGATTCGCACGTTAGGCAGCCTCGTCGTCATCATGCTATTGCTTCCTCCCCCGCTCATCAGGAGAAGAGCCGTGCCAAGCTTGGCAGCGAGCAAAACAGTCGGGGGGTTGCCCCAGGAGGCAGCAGTGTCGCAGCAGTGTCATGAGGCAAACGCACATTAGAGCACCAGCTCCACTGCAGCCTACCAACCACGGCCAGTAGAGTTGCCGGTGTGCAACGAGGAAGTAGCAAAGTCAGCCAGATGAGGCAGGTAGCTGGGGGCAAAGTTTCCGTACACGGCGGTGTGGCAATTTTTCGTCAAGCCGCCCGAGGAAGTAAACGCAGCCGTTATGTCGACTATGTGCCAGAATTCAAGCGTGGCCCGGGGCCCTAGTCTCCATCGCCACACTCTGGCCATGTGCCAACTTTCACAGGTCTCCTCACACTGCGGGTGGGTTCCATTTGTCATAGGGTGCTGGCAATTACGGCCTCCCATTGCGGCTGCCAGCCAGTAATCTGTCATGGGCCCCTGTACCCCGCCTCCTCATGCTGCTGCCAGAGTCCATAATCTGTCATGGGTCCCTGTACGAGCCTCCCATTGCTGCTGCTGTCTCCATCGCCACACTCTGCCATGTGCCACTTTCAGGTCTCCAGTCCTCACACTGCTGGTGGTTCCATTTTGTCATAGGTGCTGGGCAGATTACGGGCCTCCCATTGCTGCTGCCAAGGCCCTCGGTAATCTGATCATGGGCCCCTGTAACCCCTCCTCATGCTGCTGCCAGGTCCAGAGTGTGTCCATGGGTACCTGTACGGCCTCCCATTGCTGCTGTCTCCATCGCCACACTCTGCATGTGCCACTTTCATGTCTCCTCACACCTGCTGTGGGTTCCATTTTGTCATAGGGTGCTGCAGATTACGGGCCTCCCATTCTGCTCCCAGGCCCTAATCTGTCCATGGCCCCCCAGTACCGCCTCCTCATGCTGCTAGCAAGGTCCCGAGTCTGTCATGGTCCCTGTACGGCCTCCCATTGCTGCTGTCTCCAGCGCCACACTCTGCCATGTGCCACTTTCAGGTCTCCTCACACTGCCTGGTGGGTTCCATTTTGTCATAGGGTGCTGGCAGATTATCTACGGGCCTCTCCCATTGCTGCTGCCAGGCCCGTAATCTGCCATGGGCCCCCGTACCGCTATAACACTCCTCATGCTGCTGCCAGGCTCCAAGTCTCTCATGGAGGTCCCTGTACGGCCTCCCATTGCTGCTGTCTCCATCGCCACACTCTGCCATGTGCCACTTTCAGGTCTCCTCACACTGCTGGAATGGGTTCCATTTTGTCATAGGGTGCTGGCAGATTACTGCCTCCCGACCAATGCGGCTGCCAGGCCCTGTAATCTGTCATGGGCCCCTGTACTACCGCCTCCTCATAGCTGCTGCCAAGGTCCCAGAGTCGCGTCATGGGTCCCTGGTACGGCCCTCCCATTGCTGCTGTCTCCATTGCCACAACTCCTGCCATGTGCCACTTTTCTCAGGTCTCCTCACAACTGCTGGTGGTTCCATTTTGTCATAGGGTGCTGGCAGATTTACGGGCTCCCCATTGCTGCTGCCAGGCCCGTAATCTGTCATGGGCCCCGTACCCCCGCCTCCTCATGCTGCTGCCAGGTCCGTAATCTGTCATGGGTCCCTGTACGGCTTCCCCATTGCTGCTGGTCTCCATCGCCACACCGGCTGCCATGGTGCCGACTTTCAGGTCCTCCTCACACTGCTGGTGGGTTCCATTTTGTCATAGGTGCGGGCAGATTACGGCCTCCCATTGCTGCTCAGCCAGCCCCTGTAATCTGCCATGCCCCCCCCTACCCCCGCCTCCTCATGCTGCTGCCAGTCCCAAGTGTCCCTCATGGGTCCCTTACTTAGCGCCTCCCATTGCTGCTTCTCCATCGCCACACTCTAGCCATGGTCCACTTTCAGGTCTCCTCACACTGCGGGTGGTTCCATTTTGTCATAGGGTGCTGGCAGATTAACGGCCTCCCATTGCTGCTGCCAGGCCCGTAATCTGCCATGGGCCCTGTACCGCCTCCGATACAAGCTCTTGCCAGGTCCAGAGGTGTGTCATGGGTCCCTGTACGCGGACTCCCAATGCTGCTGTCTTGTCTCCTCGCCACGCCTGCCATGTGCCATCTATTCAGGTCTCCTCACTACTGGGGTTCCATTTTGTGGCATAAGGGTGCTGGCTGATTACGGGCCTCCCATTGCTGCTGCCAGCCCGTAATCTGCATGCTGCTGTCCATCCCAGCCTCATGCCACTTTTACGCCTCCATGTGTCTCCTTCTCACACTCTGCCTTGTTGCCACTCAGGCTCCCTCCACACTGCTGGTGGGTTCCATTTTTTTGTCATAGGTGCTCGGCAGATTACGGGCCTCCCCATTGCTGCTGCCAGGCCCGTAATCTGCCATGGGCCCCTGTAACCGCCTCCTCATGCTGCTGCCAGTCCAATCTGTCATGGGTCCCTGTACGCCCTCCCATTGCTGCTGTCTCCATCGCCACACTCTGCCATGTGCCACTTTCAGTCTCCTCACACTGCTGGTGGTTCCATTTTGTCATAGGTGCTGGCAGATTACGGGCCTCCCATTGCTGCTGCCAGGCCCTAATCTGGCCATGGGCCCCCTATACCGCCATCCTCATGCTGCTGCCAGGATCCGTAAGTGTCATGGGTCCCTGTACGGCTCCCATTGCTGCTGTCCTCCATCGCCACACTCTGCCATGTGCCACTGTCAGTCTCCTTCACACACTGCTGTGTGGTTCCATTTTTTGTCATAGGTGCTGGCAGATTACGGGCCTCCCATTGCTGCTGCCAGGCCCGTAATCTGCCATGGGCCCCCCGTACCGCCTCCTCATGCTGCTGCCAGGTCCAATCTCTCATGGGTCCCTGTAACGGCCCTCCCATTGCTGCTGTCTCCCATCGCCACACTCTGCCATGTGCCACTTTCAGGTCTCCTCACACTGCTCGGTGGGTTCCATTTTGTCATAGGTGCTGGCAGATTACGGGCCTCCCATTGCTGCTGCCAGGCCCGAAATCTGCCATGGGCCCCTATACCGCCTCCTCATGCTGCTGCCAAGTCAGAGTCTCTCATGGGGTCCCCTGTACGGCCTCCCATTGCTGCTGTCTCCATCGCCACACTCTGCCATGTGCCACTTTCAGGTCTCCTCACACTGCTGGTGGGTTCCATTTTGTCATAGGTGCTGCAGATTACGGCCTCCCATTGCTGCTGCCCAGGCCCGTAATCTGCCATGGGCCCCCGTACCGCCTCCTCATGCTGCTGCCAGTCCTAGAGTGTCTCATGGGTCCCTGTACGGCCTCCCATTGCTGCTGTCTCCATCGCCACACTCTGCCATGTGCCACTTTTCAGGTCTCCTCACACTGCTGGTGTGTTCCATTTTGTCATAGGGTCTGGCAGATTACGGGCCTCCCATAGCTGCTGCCAGGCCCCTAATCTGTGCCATGGCCCCTGTACCGCCTCCTCATCTGCCAGCCAGGCCCAGTAATCTCATGGGGTCCCTGTACGCCTCCCATTGCTGCTGTCTCCATCGCCACACTCTGCCATGTGCCACTTTCAGGTCTCCTCACACTGCTGGTGTGTTTCCATTTTTTGTCATAGGGTGCTGGCAGATTACGGGCCTCCCCATAGCTGCTGCCAGGCCCGTAATCTGTCATGGGCCCCTGTACCGCCTCCTCATGCTGCTGCCAAGTCCAAGTCGCTCATGGGGTCCCTGTACGCCTCCCATTGCTGCTGTCGCTCCATCGCCACAATCTCTGCCATGTGCCACTTTCAGGTCTCCTCTCACACACTGCTGGTGTTGATTTTTGTCATAGGGTGCTGGCAGATTACGGGCCTCCCATTGCTGCTGCCAGGCCCCTATCTGCCATGGCCCCCGTACCGCCTCCTCATGCTGCCTGCCAGTCCAAGTGTCTCATAGGGTCCACTTACGCCTCCCATTGCTGCTGAACAGCTCCATCGCCACACTCTGCCCATGTGCCACTTTCAGGTCTCCTCACACGCTGGTGTGTTCCATTTTTTGGTCATAGGGTGCTGGCAATGATTACGGCCCTCCCATAGCTGCTGCCAAGGCCCCGTAATCTGCCATGGCCCCTATATAACCGCCTCCTCTCCTATGCTGCACGCCAGTCCAATCTGTCATGGTCCCTGTACGCCCTCCCATTGCTGCTGTCTCCATCGCCACACTCTCCATGTGCCACTTTCAGGTCTCCTCACACCTGCTGTGGTTTTCCATTTTTTGTCATAGGGTGCTGGCAGATTACGGCCTCCCATTGCATGCTTGCAGGCCCCTAATCTGCCATGGGCCCCGTACCGACTCCTCATGCTGCGCCAGGTCCAGAGTGTCTCATGGGTCCCTGTACGGCCTCCCATTGCTGCTGTCCTCCATCGCCACACTCTGCCATTGCCACTTTCTGTCTCCTCACACTGCTGGTGTGTTCCATTTTTGTACATAGGGTCTGCAGATTACGGGCCTCCCATTGCTGCTGCCAGGCCCTAAGCTGCCCATGGCCCCATATACCCGCCCTGTAGGAGCAAAAGCTGCTAGCCCAGGTCCATCCAATGTGTCATGGGTCCCTGTACGCCTCCCATTGCTGCTAGTCTCCAATCGCCACACTCTGCCATGTGCCACTTTCAGTGTCCTCCTCAACACGGCTGGTGTTCCATTTTTTGCACATAGGGTGCTGCTCAGATTACGGCCCTCCCATTGCTGGCTGCCAGGCCCGGAATCTGCCATGGGCCCCCAGTACCCCTCCTCATGCTGCTCTCCAGTCCACAGTGTACTCATGGGTCCCTGTACGGCCCTCCCATTGCTAGCTGGTCTCCTATCGCCACACTCTGCCATGTGCCACTTCAGGTCCCTCACACTGCTTGGGTTTTCCGTTTTTTGTCATAGGGCGGTGCTGGCAATTAACGGGCCTCCCATTGCTGCTGCCAGCCCCTAATCTGCCATGGGCCCCCCTAGTACCCGCTCCTCATCTCGCGCTGCCAAGGTCCAAGTCTCGCATGGGTGTAACCCCCATATGGAGCTAACCCGCCTCGCCATTGCTGCTTCTTCCATCGCCACACTCCTGTGTACTGTCGTGACATCGGCAACACTTTGCCATGGTCAGTCCCCCCTTCCACTATATACCGCTGACACAACGTTCCATTTTTTGTCATAGGGTGCTGCTGCTGATTATTACGGGCCCCCATTGCTGCTGCTTCAATTTCAAGCTGCTCCCCTAATCTGCCATGGGCCCCCCGTGACCGCCTCCTCAATGCTGCTGCCAGTCCCTATGAGTCTCTCATGGGTCCCTGTAACGCCCTCCCATTGCTGCTGTCTCCATCGCCACACTCTGCCATGTGCCACTTTCAGGTCTCCTCACAACTGCTGGTGGTGCCATTTTGTCACAGAGGTGCTGGCAGATTACGGCCTCCCATTGCTGCTGCCAGGCCCGTAATCTGCCATGGGCCCCTGTACCAGCCTCCTCATGCTGCTCGCCAGTCCACATGCTCATGAATCTGGTCCCTGTACAGGTCCCTCACACATGGTTGTATGCTGTCCTCCATCGCCATACTCTGCCATAGCTTGCTGCAGGTCCATTAATCAGCCACTGCTCGGTATGATTTTCCGACATTTTTTAACTCCAGATTGTCTGAGTTTAAGTCTGGCGGCCCACCATTGCTGGCAGAATCCAGATCGCTCCATAACGCTACACTTGTCGCCATCTGCCATTGTTCCCCATACCACTCCTTTTTCATAGTGCTGCAGATTACGGAAAAATATCTAGAACTATGCAACCCTACATATGCATGGGCCCCCATACCCGCCTTCATGCTCTGCAGTCCAAGTGTCTCCATGCACAGCATTCCCTGTAATGCCCATTACGCTGCTGCTCCATCGCCACACTGCCAGGAGCCAGGGTTTCAGCTCACAGCTGCCGTGCTGCCATTTTGTCATAGGCAGTACTCGCATGATGACGGCCTCTTTACTGTCATGCTGCCAGGAAATATCACCCTAATCTCCATGCCCCAAAGGACTACCTACCTAATGCATGAGCCTCAGTCTCAGCAACTCAGTTGCTGGGTCAGACTGTGGACAGCTGACGGCCTCCCATAACAGGCTAATCAGTCTCCAGAATCGCCAAAGATAACTTTATGTTTGCCATCAGCCACTGAACAGAATTTCCCTTACACGTAATCAGTGTTTGAAGAAGCTCATGGTCTCATTTGGGCAGAGTCCTTCCCTTCATGCCACATTTCAAGTATTGGATCACAGGGAGGCACCGTAGATCTGCCATGAGGGCCCCTGGGGACCAGACAGAGATCATATCTCAGGCTGCCACCTTGAGTATGTAAGCCTGTGTCATTCCAGCATGGACCCAAACACCTCCCCAAGTTGCTGCTGGCAGAAAATAACTACAAAATCCCACATTTATCCATGCTGTCTCGCAACATGTCCCTTCACTTTCAGGTCTCCTCACCTTGGTGGGCTTCCAAATGTCAAGACATAGGGTGTAACTCGGCAGATTACCACGGGCCGCCCATTGCTGCTGCAGGCCCGTAATTCCATCCCCCCGTAAACTACTAACCAATCTCGCAGCTGCCTAGGTCCAAAGTGGTCCACCTCATGGTTGACCCTTACGCCTCCCATTGCTGCCTCCAACGAAA